TAGCTGCCACACTTTTTGCCACGGAAAACACCTTAAAATTAAATTGTATTAATATATTTTTTTAATGTATTAAGTATTTTTCAAGCATAAAACATGGTAAATATCAAACAGAAATGAAACACGTTGGTTTAAAGCTCAAACGCTCGTAGCCTTACCAGTGATGGAGCCCAACGGAAGCTTCTATGCAGGAATGGATAATTTAGTACCTGAAATAGGTTTGAAAGTTAATTACAGACATTGCTGCTAGTGCAAACAAATCATATCTGTGCTGTTACCTGTAGTAACTCACTCTTGCAGATTCAGTGAAAGCAAACCTAACCAGAAGTCTTTTCCAAAATGCTTATTAATTACCTTAAAATATATTTCGTTGCTGAACTTTTATTTTTCTTCAGCAGATCTCTTGTGTGTGTCTTTGGAGAGCTAGTTCTGTGTCAATATACTTTCCAGGAGATAGTATAGGCTTCATGGATTGTAATTTCAGGGCATATTGTCCTCTCTTCTGTAGTTTCCATCTTAGTGTTAATATGTGAAAGTTGTGTGTTTCTTAATACGTGGAACTTATTCTGAAGTGTATCGTAGGATTTGCGTGCAAGCTTGATTAACACCCAGTTGTTTGATGCTGAGTGTTTGGTAGCAAAGCTCTCAGGTATTAAGACAAAAAGTAAGTCTCTTCATAGAAATTAAATTATTTTGTGTTTTCCATATAGTGTTCAGACCTTCAGGCTTGACAATGTATCATTAAAAGCAGAGAATAATTTGAGTTAGCTGTTTTGAAGTTAAACTATAGTGAAGCAGTTGTTCATAGCAACTTGAAAGGTAACCTTTTAAACATCAACGGAACTGAGAGTTACCATTTTTTTGACTCTTACACAGTAGTACAAAACAATAAGGAAGTATAATGCAGGAACCTTCATCAGGGGACTGGAGGTCACACTGATGGTTTTGGTTTCTGGCAGTACTGCTGATTCACTCTCTCCTTTGATAAATTACTTCAGTTTCCTGTGTCATAGTTTCAGTGTCTACAAAATGGGGCCACGGTCGGCCTACGTAGCTAACAAATGCTTTCCAAGATTTTAATAGGCTTCAAGAGTTTTAATACCTCGATGAAAGTTAATTCAGTGCATGTTGTGTATAGTCCTGTTTATGGAGAATTCTGGTTGTTGGAAAAACAGTGTGCTGAGGAAAGTTATACTGGTTGACTCTGCAGAGTTTGACAGTCAATCCAGCAAAATAACTGATATACAAATGAACGGGACTTGCCGTCTTTTCATGGTGTGGCTTCAGAAATATGTAAACTTTACACTGGAAAATCAAGACTAGTTTTTAAATGCACTTAGAGTGCAAGATAACATGTGCTCTGCATTGGGAACAGATGCTGGCTCTGTTTCAGATTTAAACTAGGGCATTCCAAATGTCACAGCAAGCTAGCACCGAGGGACTTGGCCTTGGAAAGAGCCAGCTTGACACAGATGGGTGTTCGTTTGACAAACAGGATCTATTGCTGGCTTTCTGAATAAGGGTTGTCTTCTGACGTCTGGTACCGTGATAGTGCTGCTTTGGATCGAAGTTTGGTTATGTTTCTGTAGGGCGCAAATGTACTTTAAAGCTAGACCCTCACCAGGAAATGATCTGTACTTTTTCAATGGGAAATTCTGGAGTACAGTTTTAAATATATGAAGGTTATATGTGCCTGAAGCATTAAACTTCACTGCTATTGTCAGTTCTGAAGTAGCACTAAGTCGCTTACAAAAGAAAAGTATGTGTACCTCTGCCAAAATAGCTGTGTAGAAAGCACCTGACCGGCAATTCCCAAACTGAGGATTGTGTCCTAAATGGTGTCATGACTGGTGGGAGTGAGGAATGCAAGGGACATTGTGGTATTGCTCTCTGAAGTGAGATCAGAGCTGTGTTTACTTGCCCAAATACACCAGAGTTGGCTAATTCTCCAGAGGCGAGTGGCAAGGCAGCGTTCCGTTTGTCGTTGCACGCCGTGGAGCATTTTGAAGACATAAGTTACAAGGAAGCAGCTGCAGTTTCTCTTTTGCTCGATTTCCATATTGAAATTCGTATTATGAATGATTCAAGGTGGTGCTTCTTCCATATGCAGAACGTGGCCTTGGAAATGGTCCTCTAGTCTCCGGCTTAATGTAAAGTAAAAAAATCCCTATTGATCAGTGTACTGAGAGTGGTACTGTACCTTGAGGCTTCAGTAGCGCATGATGTTTGGTGAAAATGGGGGGATGGATAAAATCTGAAAATGATATCGATCGTTGTACTGAGTGGCACTGTACCTTGAGGCTGGAGTTAGTGCGTAATGTCCGGTGAAAATGCCTGGGTGGAGCGTGTTAGCTTGATAGCTTTACGAATTTTCAGCTATGTAACACTTCACAGGGAGGTCATCATTTCCATCTGAAATTTAACAGTGTTTTTTCTGTTTCGTTTTATTCTTCTTGATAGTTTCACTTTAGCAGTTTCAAAGCAAACCTCGTGTGTGTTCCACTGTCCAGGGACATGATCTTGGTGATGACAGTTTGCCCACTTGATGCCTGTCTTGAACAGGCCTTGTTTGAATATGAGAAATGATATATTGAAGCATCCTCACAGAATTAAATTATTCCATTTCTGGTGTCATATAGTTCAGGGAAAAAAGAAACAGTTTCTGGCTCTTCCAGAGCCTGTACATGGTATTGGGGGTGTGGTGGGAACAGAACTTGACAGAGGCCTTGATGCTGATTTTGTAAGAAAAAAGAGCTCCATGGGGCTTTGTCAAAAGCCTGAGTCTCCTCCATCATCTTAGCTGAAGGGAGGGCCAAGATAGCTGCCTTTGTTGGAAGCTGGAGGGAACAGGTAGCCGTTGGATTAGGTGAATGAGAATTAAGGATTGCGAAGGTTCTTGTCACCTGGGAGAGCAGAGTCTGATGTGCAGAATTTGACTGTTAGAAAGTCTAGCAATAAAAGTTGTGATGCCCCTGAAGAGTGAAAAAAGCAAAGTAGCCTACTAATAAACCTAAACTAATAAAACTAAATTTTTTTTTTTAATGTGATAAAAATGGGAAAGTGACAAAAAATAAGTGACATGAATATTGGAAAGCTCTAGTACTTCCTGCAGCTGAGCTTTTTTTTATCAAACAGATTAACTTGTGGGAGTCATTGCTGCAGTACAAGGAACACAGATTCACTGACTTTGCTCAGCTTTTAACAACAGGAAATGCATTGACGGTATTTTCTTCAGATCAGTTTATTCATGTAGTTCTACTTTTTATTGTGAAAAAAAACCCATTCAGAATCTGGTGACTCTAGCTTTGAAGGATGAGGTAAATTAGAAACAATAGATTAACTTGTGGGAGTCATTGCTGCAGTACAAGGAACACAGATTCACTGACTTTGCTCAGCTTTTAACAACAGGAAATGCATTGACGGTATTTTCTTCAGATCAGTTTATTCATGTAGTTCTACTTTTTATTGTGAAAAAAAACCCATTCAGAATCTGGTGACTCTAGCTTTGAAGGATGAGGTAAATTAGAAACAATCCATTCAGCTGTATTATTGTGTTTAGTACTTTATCAAATAGGAAGAATTTGGAGGCAAAACATTTTAACTGTTTTCTCCCTTGCCCCTGTTTTACTTTAGGGAATAAGGAAACTGTTTAATTTTTGTAGTTTTGCTTGTATTTAATACCTCCCTCAAATCAATATTTAGGTAGTGATCACATGATAAATAATTACTCACATATGCTAGCATGTGCAATCCTAACAATTTTTTTTAACGCTTTAAATGAGGGAGTGTATACAGGCCATAGGTCTGTATTTCAAGTTAAACATTTACTCAAACTTGTATAGCGACTGTGTTCTTAAGCCCAGAAAATCCTGATCTAACAAGTCAGTTCATATCTAATTTTGTCAACAGACTTCTTTGAAGGAAACAAAAATTGCAATTGGAGATGTGATTAGGACACATCTACTGTTTCTTGCTTCCTGATTTAAATGATTTGGATTAAAACCAGACCATACGGGAAGGAGGAAAATCTGTTGCTCTGCTTGTTTTTAAAAATGAGTTAAAGTAATCTTCAGTGTTTCTGCACAGAGGATTCTCGGCAAGTGCCTGCATGTTGGTCTGCAGACATCGCCTCGCTTCCAGATGTGTTACGTACGTGTAGTGCAATGCCCAACAATCTTCCACTGCTATCAGACTTTTCTGTTCTGCAGGTGAAAACGTGATGGGACTGGCAAACACCAGATTTTTCTGTTGCCTGCTGAGTATGCCTTTCTTAGTGAAGTTATCCTATTGGGGCCACCTGTTACAGTGCTGCATTTTGCATTGCAGTAGCACTCTAGAAGCAAATTGTTAAGGTCTCTGTTATGCAAAGTGATATATAAGCACACAACAGGTGATATTCCCACCTCAGTATGCACATTTACCTACAGGCAAGTGTTGTAGAAATTCAATTAACCTGAAAATAGGAATCTTCAATGAAAACAGTCGTATCGTTTGAAAAAAATAGTAGGATTTGGCTGAAAAGTACATTAAACAGGACATTAAGGTCCTAAGTTTGAAATCTGTTCCTCTAGGGGGAAAAAATGGGTAAGGATCAGTAGTAAAGAAAGAGTAGGGAACTAGGTGTATGTATTCCTAATTCAAGGATAAATACCTTCTTGCTAGTGGTGCACGGTGCCTAAGATTGTTATTTTAATCTCTCTAATGATGGTTATTCCTGGTTAATGGAAGCTCTGGCAGTTCTGAGATGTCGTAATTTCGATATAATAATTTCAGTGTCTGTAAAATGGGGCCTAAGAGAGTATGGGTTTTATCTTTTTAAAGCTATCTTAGGTGTGTTTTGAAAGCAAACGCTTTATAACCATTTCACCCTGTCAGTGCCTACTCTTGAAAAAACAATTTGCCAAAGTCAAATGATCTCAAATTAATTAGTGACCTTCATTTCATGTGGTGGTTGAGCTGTGCAATTTTGAATTTTGAATTTTGGAGGTGACTTCTGGTTCCAGCAAAAACGAGGTACCAAGACATACCTGTGAGTGGAGGGAAAGCTGTATGGACATTGAACGAGGCGCAGGAGTACCCGCAGGGGTTGGCACCGCTTGACGGGTTCCCTGGTCTTGGAGGGAGTGTGTCGGTGCCTGCTTCTCAGTCAGATGGTTGTGCTGTGGCAGGCTGTGATTGTGAGGGACCAGGTATGGATATTGGGTGTGCTTACCCAGTGCTGGAGGCTATATGGGACAAATAAAAGGTGTGGAGAGAGCAGAAATTACTTTTCCAAATTTGTGCTACAGTGCTGGAGGCAACACCGGGCTCTGAAATGGTTCTGCCTTGCATTGAACCAAAACGAGTTCAGATGTTGGGGAGAGTTCTGTTGCAGTTCTTTCCCTGACTCTGTAGTTTCCTCAAAGAAAGACAGCAATGTTAATTTCGAGCGATTTCGGTAGGTTTCCTGTTTGAAAACAGTGCAGCCTAACATTGAGGTACACTCTGATGCTCTTGCCTGGAGTTTTGTTCCAAGTGTTGTAGGAGCACAGGACAAAAGAGATAATGGTCCTTGACTTTAAGTGCTTTTAGGATTTAAATAAAAAGTTTAGGTTTATTTGTAGTTGTCTTTTTGAAGGTGCTTTCTGGGAGTTATTGGGTTCATTATAACCTATTTTCATAAAACAGGGCACTCTAAATGAAAGTTGGAACTCTTTGTTTAAACATCTAGTTCAGGAAGAGGTCACATTATTTTCAGTATACTTTCTTTTTCCCTCTTTTATATGTATAGCACAGTGGTGGTTTTAAACATAAAGGTAATTCAGCTTGTATATAGGGAATAAGGATATAAGGTTCCTGGGCCCTTGCCTTACTCAATATGAATTTATAGATTTCTTTCTCCTTCATCTCTTCCTTTCACATCACCTTTCCAAAAGTTTCCTTTGTGTTTTATTCCTTAAGTATATAGCAAATGGAATGGCACAGGACTTGAGTGTTAGTTTTCAAAATGCAGCGTTAATAATGGAATTGGAGTTGGATTTTATCTAGTTTAAGAGGAGACGTAGAGTTAAAGGTAGTGCTTAGAAAATCAACTTCCAGTTCTTTGCTGAAATTATGAGATCATATTTGTCTTTCTACTTGAGACCTCAACACATTCTTCTTCATATTCCTGTACAAAAGGTTGCACTTCTTGAACTGTTATACTTGCTGTCTTTTAGCTGAGTTAACTGAATAACCACAGAGTTATTTTCTGCCTCATGGCTATTAGCTTTAGAAGAACCATCAGCTTGTGAACGTGTGAAATGTTTATTTTGCTGTTTCTGCACTCTTATTAAAGGTGGTGGAAGAACTAGCAGGTGTGATGCTTGTCTTAACATTTGTAAAATGAGAACCATGAATTATTTCAAGACTTACATTTATATTCTGGTTCTTTATTGTTTAGGTTTTTACTTGTTAGTGACCATTAGCAGGGTCTTAATTATTTCTTCAGTGTATTGTTTTAAAGGAGTATGTAATTACTATTTTTCTTCACAGGGAGAAGAGAATTTATCCAAAGATTAAAACTTGAAGCAACCTTGAATGTGCATGATGGATGTGTAAGTCACTTTTTGCTTTTTTGTTTCTTAAAAGATGTTAAATTTTGATTTTGTTGCCACAGTAATATTTCCTTAAATTAAAAATGCAAATACCATTTATTAAAGCTGAGCTGGAAAACTCTGCTTATTGAGACATACATCTGAATTCTCTAGGTATTTATTTGTTCTTAAACATCTGACACTTTACAGCAAAACAAAATCCTATTTCTGTACCTTAATACTGCATCCCACTGCTGAATGGATTAATCTACTATGCCAGGAAAACACATGCTTATCTTTTCAGTTAGAACTCATCTTAAAATTTTAAAGGTATCCTTAGAAGGTTTATGCTATGTTGATGTATTTTGTTGACTTAAAACTGTATTAGTTTTTAGAGTGATTTGTTCTTCAAGTCTAAAAACCAAATGATCAAGTGCTAGATGCTTATTTAAAGAGATAATAAAACCAAGAATAAACTTCCTCTGAAAGGCAATAACATAACTTGAAGTATTGCTTATTTAAATATTTAATTTTTGAAAGTGATCCAAATATTGTAAATCACATTTTTTTAAAGAAAAGTTTTTACTTAAGCTGGGTGCAGATTAAAAGAGATTGCCATATTACCTTTGATGGTTAGAGCAGGAATTGTTAAAAGCATTGTCGTTATTGTACAAGATACCTGGAAAGTGAAAGAATAATAAGTGTGCTCTAAAAAGTGAAAAAGTAAGTGTAAATATTATACTTGTTTATACATGTTTATTTCAAAAGCTGTTCAAATGTAAAGGTGTTTTTATTTTCTGTTGTTTATGCTTGTAGCTTTAAGTTAAGGAGTGTCATAATTGTTAGCTAATGCAGTAGTAGTTTCAAAGAAAAAAAAGTGTTAAGAAAATCTAGCCTTTGGGCTTGGGATCAGAAGTATGATGGTGACCTGTGTATATTTTTGTGAGACTAGAAAGGCTGGAGAGGCAAGGATTAGAATTGCTGTATGTAAGGTCAGCTAGTTGTGCTCCACTGACTACTATTGTAAGTTTAATATTGTGTTACAGATGGTCTTGACTTGAAAAAACCCAAGTGCATTAATTTCCCCTTTTTTTTCTTTTCAAAAAAATGTTTTTCTTATAAGAAAGACAATGTAAGCTCTCTTCCAACCTGAAACATTTGATGATTCTATGTGTAGAAAGTTATTTATCAGTTTTTGTATTCAAGATTGTAACAGTGATTTTTACTTTAGTATTTATTTTCTGATAGTTTTTCATCTGCTCAAATATACTTAAGATGAAATTTTTTAAGTTTCCTTTCCTGAAGTTGGTTGGGGATTTTTAATTATTTTTTCTTTGTTTTCTGGTAAAACCAGTGATTTTTGCCTATAAAACAGGGGACAGGAAAGGAATATTTCTTAGCTACTTGTTAAAAATGGAGTGACTGATCTCTATTTTAGTTAACTACCTCCGTGTCATGTAACAGAAATTGCAAATTTGGTGTTGCCTTTTTGGTGTTGCTTGGATTAACCTGGTAAATATGTACTTGAAAATTAATTTTGAATTGACTGTTGAAGCGTACTTTAAAAGCTAACGCATGTGATCTAACTTAAGTGTTTTACTGTGTGGACAATGTTTTAATTGTGAATTACGGCATTATATGCAGGTATTTAAAATATTGCTGCAATTTGAAAAATGTCTTTAGAAATTAAATTTGCTCAGAACTATCCAGCTTTAAAGAATGGGGTATTAGGAGTTCTTACCTGATTTACTGTGTGTGGGGTTTTGTCCAGGGAATAATTTTTACGGCTAACAACCATTCAGTATTTCTTACTACTTGCTTTTAAGAAAAAAAAAATCTGTGAAATAAAAGTAAATTAAATTACAATGCCCTTACTGATTAAAATGCTCATACCATCAATAGTAAATGATAATATTACCCTCCCCCTCTCCGTCCTTGCTGAATCAGCATGCATTTCAAATGTGAGGAATGAATGCCATAGCTGTCTTGTTAAGGGTGTTTTTTTTGGAGGGTTGGAGGGCAGAGTTGGTTTTGGGTGGTGGGTTTTTTGTTTGCCTTTGGGGTTTTGTTAAGAACGCTTGCATTCTTCTGTGGAATAAGTTGTGACTTGTATTTTCTATATAAAGCATGCTGTGTAATTGGACAAGGCGGACAACATACTTAAGGCAAGAATTTTTTTTCTAATTGAGGATAAAAGTCAGGTCCAACTTCCTACTTACCATTTGATCTATGTTACACGAAAGAGAGATCCTGTGGGAAATATGGCTATGTGTATAGTTGTACTCAGGTACAATATGTTTGAAGAAGGGAATAGTTCTATGAATTACGTCAAGTATACATGCTCTTGTAGAAGAAATATTACCATAGCACCTTTTTGTTTGAGGTATGAGTATTTTCTCATCTCAGAGTTTAGGTACCACTGTCTTTGAAAAGTGCAATTTTCCGCTTCGTTTGAAGACACGATTTCTAGCAGTAGTATGTGAAGTAATTGAATTCGTCTACCGAATCCTTGATGTCTGCTGGTAACCTTACCATCCTTCCAGGACATGATTTGCCTCTTTCAACAAAACTCACATTGTCCAATCCAGTGAGGTCATGTGTATGCCAGAAGTTGCCATTTTCCGTGTTAACTCTAAATGTTGAGGGAACTTATTGTTAGGTGAGATGCTTTCTGTATGAAGTGGTTAAATCCAAAGAAGAAATGTTGAAAGAGAATCAGCTTGGACCAGCATCGATGAAGTGTAAGGAAAGTAGAGGAGAAAGCAACTCTGAACCATATTGAATTGGAAGAAAAATATTGCGTATTTTCTTCCAGTTCTGGTCCTGGGAAAGCTGAGGGAGGTAGAACTGCAGAATGCATGGGTAGATTGGAGTCTTTGACATGAGCAAGTACTATTCTTTAAAATAAAGAAGATTACCTGGAGAAATGAGTTCTCATTTCTGTGTATAGACATTCAGTTCAGTAACGAACAAGCATCCTGTGGCATATAGCTCCTTCGGGATAGCACTTGTGAGCAAGTAATTTTTAGATGTAGTGCTTAAAGCTATGCTTAAATAAGTATGGGAAGTTTGTTTGCATATTGTTAGAACGTGCAGTTTTACCTTTTCCTCCTGCGATGAAAAGAAGTGCCTTCTTTACCCCTTACCTTGCCTGGGAGATCTTTCTGATATTCTAGATATCTACAGTCTTTTTTATGTCCTTTCTTCTATTTCATGTTTTCTGTTAATATGTCCTGTTCACAAAGGAGTTAATTCTACTATTAGAATTGAGGAGTTTGCTTTTCTACTTTTTTAAGGATTGGCTGTGCTGCCTCCTGCGTTGTCTTGGAGGAAAGTACAGAGATAGTAAATTTGTTTTAGACTGACTGACTAATGAGTCAAAAGGGCCTGCTGTTTCCTTTCAAGGCTAGTTGAGTGGCAAATAAAATTAGATACAGTTGATAATGTGAAATGCTTACTAGAAAAAAGGTAATTACACACCCTTTGACTTTTCTCATCTTGTTAGTAATTGTCTGTCATTTGTATTTGATATAGCCTTGCTTTTGGCTCTAACACCCTTTTCCAAGAATTTCAAACCCTCAATGTACAAACTGTTACATTATGCTTTTAGTTGGGTATTGAGTGGCTGTGAAGGTCATAGTAGATATTCAGCTTTTCTACACGGTTTTGGAATATATACCAATTTTCTAGCTAGTCCTCCTTTTCCTGTGTGTATTAATGTAGAGGGTTTGCTACCATGGAATGAGACATGGATTTTTTTTTTTTATTTTGGTCTCATCAAGCTTTTATTCTGCTCCTACCAAGTTTTTAGTGACCCGTATGCCTATTTATTGGGGTTATTCACTGTTTGTCTATAGGTTGTACTCAACACTGAGAAATGTAGTGTGTTGCCTGATCACTTACTGGAAAGTTGGTGTTCTGTCGGGGACACGCACATACACCAATCATCAAGCTTATTCCACTTAAAGACTTAGTTTTTACTTATTTTCTGAGAGTAATGCTGAGAAGGTGATCTGGTACAGAATAAAAAGCCTGTTAAGTTCTAGACCTCTAGTACACATTTGGTTATGTCATGTCACTTAAGGATTTTTTTCTGAACCAACTTTGGCTTGGGTAGGGTGTATTGAAATTGCTCAACCCTGAGGCAATCAGTGCACTGAAATCTGAATTTAAGAGGAGAATGGTGTCTTGTGTAGGCTTGTGACACTGCAGTTTAGATAACCATGTCTCCCGTTTGCATCTTGGATACTTTCTCTGCTTTCCTCTGCTTCAGATATTAGGCACTCCCACACCCCACACCTTCCCCCAGTTTGTTTAATTTTTGTGCTAGCTCTTCTTTCTCACATCGTGTGTTTTCAAATTTTTTGATAGTATCCTTGTGTTTTGTTCTTGTTTCTATTCTTGTATCCTTGTATTAGCATTTTGTTTTCTTTAGGGCAATGATAGTTTTTTTCTGCCTGAAAGGAAATGCAGATGAAAATGGACATTCTTGGGCTTTGTGCTTGCCCTAGCTGTAGTACTGTCCTATGTTTGACAACATTTTTGAAGTACAGTCGCTGTCAGGAGAGGTTACTTCAATGACAGATGGATCTGGGGGCTCTTTGAATGCATGGTTTTTGGTGATTGACAGCCAGGGTTATAAAATTTGAGTAGCCATGCAGGGTCATACCAGTGCTCAGTTGAGCCTGATAACCTGGTCCTGAGAGTGGCCAGTACTGATTTTTGAGGAAAGTTGAGACAGGGCAAGTAGGCAGTACTTGAAGGGTGTTCTAGAGGACACATCACACTTTAATGGACAGATGGAGGTGAAAGCTGCATCTTTGCTTCTGATAATTTTTCATTTTTCTTTGATGAATATATATATTCTTCCACTTCTGGTGTTTAGGACACTCCATGACAATGAATTCCAGTTTTAATAAAATACCATGTGTGTCATGTGATGGTTTCATTGAAGGCCTTCCATTTCCTGTGCTGTAGAGATCCACAGAAAATTATTTCTTTCTTCTTCCATGTCATTCATGATTTCATAAGCTTCTGTCATATCCCCTCCCCAGAGTGTAGTACAAATGAAGTGCTTCTTGCTATAAAAAGTGTTAGATACCTATGGTCACCCTAGTCATTCTTTTTCATAATTTCTCTTTTCAAATGGACAGTAATAGAAATGGAGAATTTGGGAGTGGGATATGGACCAAAACTGCGTAGCGCGGAAGACGCAGATTTGGCACGCATGGGTGTATACACTGACAGAATGATGTTTGGTTTTCTGTGCATTTCCTAATGATTCCTAACATTATTTGACTGCTGCTGAGCATTGAGCTAGCTCTGCCATAGGCATGTCTGTTGTAACATGAAGATAACTTTTTTCCTTTTTTTGAGTCACAAAAGTTAATTTAAAGCTCCTCAGTGAGTATGTGAAGTTGTTGTCCGTATGATCCATCTGACACGGCTAGTTCTGATTTTGCAACTTTGCCTACTTAAGGACCCTAACTAAGCTTGTGATTAAAATAGTAACTAAAATGGTTATATTTATTTCAAAGGAAAAGATTTTTTGTCTTTTGGGTTCAGAATGTGACATTTGAATTAAAAAAAAAAAAGGCAAAGAATAAATTTAGAACAAGGTGTTTTTTTTTACCAGTTATTGAGTCTACTCCGATGCATCAGACTAAGGCAGTTATTCTGCCAACAGAATATAGTCAACAGAAGATGCTGATGGCTGCAATTTGACACTTAAAGCTATATTAGGGGCTACTTGAAATAATAATGGTCATGCATGTGGGCTTTGGTGCTTGTGCATGAGCTGCTGCTTGAAGACAGGTTACTCAAGTGTACTTTATGAGCTTCCTGGGTTTTTCGTGCTTTTACAGCTGTATTTCATTCACACAGTATTAAACACATTCTTGTGAAAAGGAGAATTGATAAGGAAATATACTGAAGATGTTCTCCCAATATGATCCTGTACCTCACTGTAGGATTCTTCTTTCCCAGTGTACTCACTCTTCTCAAAAGGGATCTGGGATGGATTCTGTGGCGTGTTTCACACGATCCCTGAGAAGGTGTGGTCACTGAAAAAGTATAAAAAGCAATGGATGGTCAGAATTTGGATATGGTGAAGATACAATAATAAAAGCATTGTGATTCCCTCCAGTTCAAATCTGGAGAACTCTGTGGAGTAGATTTAGTGCACTAAAGCACCTGAATGTGTAAAATTGTGGCTACTGAGGCCTTTGTTGGAAGGCTTAATATACCTGATGGATTTTTCAGGAGCAGAGGGACTAATTGAGATGCCATAGGTGAAGCAGGTCGTTCCCTTATCAATTTGTTTTAAAAACACAATTTGTTTTGTGCTAGCTGCTTACAAATTACATCATTTCAATTGAATTTGTTAACTTCTATTTCTGTAGTGTTGGATGAGTATTGGTGTTTTAATATTCTGAAAACTGAATTAATGGAAGTCTAAACTAATTTTTGTTAATTCATGCAGGTGAATACGATTTGCTGGAATGATACAGGAGAATATATTTTATCTGGTTCGGATGACACCAATCTGGTAATTAGTAATCCCTACAGCAGAAAGGTAGGTTTGTTTCTGGCTAAGCAATAATTTTCAAATAAAATCTGAGTTATTATTTTTCAAGATATTAGGATTTTTTCAAGATATTATTTTTCAGATAATGATTCTCTGACAAAGATAACATCAGGGACCTTTTAGTGTTTCTAAATGGGAATAACACTTCACAGTGCTTTAAAACCTTAGTATTCTAATCCCTTGCGACATAAGTATTATCCCATTTTACGGTAGGTGGTCTGGCACAAAAGGAACATGGTCTCACAACAGATTAGTGTCAGAATTAGCAATAGGATTCAGTAATTCTTGTGAAATCTTATAGTCAGATAAATTATTTTCTGTTTCATTTTAGTTTTAAAATATTGTATTGGCTGTTATATGTAATATACTGCGTTGTCTTTATGTGTAATGTTGAACTGTCAATCTTGATTAAAGTGATTTATTACCATTGGAAATTACATTGGCTTGTGTGCGTGTCTGTGTGGCTGGAGAACAGTTTGTACTGAAATAAAGGAAGCAGGTTTGTGATGGGGAAAGCACTGTGAAGGTCTCTGCTTTTCCACTTCTGCACTCACACGGCTTACGATGCCGTCAGATGGCTCCCAATAACGTTATCTAGCATCCACCACGTAGCAGCAATGTTCCACACTCGCTCTTTAGGAGCTGCTGATAGTTTGGTAGGGCAGATGCTCTGAGCAGTGCCCTTTAGTGCTGGGGCTCCTGTGCAGCACTGTTCAAGTGAAGTCCTTTCTCCCAGGCTTTCTCAGGGGTTGGGAAATAAACCCTGAAGATGTGCTGAAAAATTAAATGTGGTCGGGGAACCAAAACGTGTGTTTGGTGTGGTGGAGGAGTGTTTGAATAGAAGGTTATGGAGACAGTAATGTTTTGCCTTCCTGAAGAGCTGTGGTGGGAAAATAATAGTAATCTGGAGTGTTGCCTGTGCCTGTAGGTAAGGCCCTTTTCTTCCCTTCCCCAAGTGAGCCATGCCTACCAAACTTCATCTCTTCCTTTCAACTACTGGTGTCAGTCTGACAGAGTTCAGATCGGTGTCGTTAGACCAGGGTTTCTCTTGGACTGGGAGCTCAGCTGAAGAAGAGCAGGTATCGAAGACAGCTATGAAATGAGTGAAGTGTACATTCCAAAGGGAGTGTTGTTGGAGCGACTTGCAAAGTGTAAAGCTCTTTCGTGCAAGTAAAGGCTGTTCACATCATTTATTGTGCAGAGCTTATTTTAATCTATCACTACGAGATAGTTGCTATATTATTATTTTCTTATATAATGAATATATTAAGATACTGTAATATTTTAATAAATGCAGCAATTTAAACTTTATGCTTTCATGGGATGATTTTGGTGTTTTCCCCACATTGTGTACTGCTGTTGCACTTAACCCAAATGGGAAATACAGGAGATGTTTTGATTTTGTGTTTTTTATTTTGCATAACAGCAGAGCAGATAGATTTTATTTCCTCCTTCTCCTCCTCCCCTCATATATACAAATGCAATTATAAAACAGCAGGTACTAGCAAGAAGACTTAATAATCAGTGTTGTTCCTGAAGTGTACTAGAGGTGTGATTTTTAATGACACTTATAATTGTGTTAGCTTATTGTCTCTGGCTCGGGTAACAGAATCAATACAGGAAAAAGGAACAAATTGGTATTGGTTTTGGAACTCTGCTGTAATTCTGTCATCTTGGCAGATATACTTATCACCGTATTTTCTCTTATGGGCTAGGGTAGCAAAAATAGACTTCAGCCATCAATATAGCCTTGTTAGTAAAATACCTAATTTAATAAGGAAGCATTTAATCTTGTTTAACTCTTATTTACACGAGTTTTATGTAAGTCTCTCCAGTTTCTGTTATGTACGGCGAAATGCAAATGTTGTTACTAGGTGATGTGTCTCCAAAGGATAGGTTTTTCTAAATATGTTTCTCAAGTTTGTATAGATGATATGTTTATAGTGATGGTGCATCTGAGGAGAAATGCGTTAGTGTAATTTCCAATAGTAATTGCAAGTCTAAATCAAAAGGATTTATTATGCTTTGGGATGGCTGATAAGAATTTTTTCTTGTGGATCTTTCTCATTTTATGTTTTAGGCATCACGTTACTGGAGGTGGGGAGGGGAGGAGACTTTAGCTCGAGGTAAAACTCTAGGAGTCTGGTGTGAAAAAGATGGGACTTCATGTATTTACAGTGGGTTGAGCACTCAGCTTTCAAAGCCTTTAAATGGAGCCTGAGACCTCTCAGCTAATACTAGTGTGAAGACAGGATTCTTACACTCAGGATTTTTGAATCTTTAGCCTGGTTTGCCTTCTGTGAGAGAAAATTTTCAGCTCACATGAGAGAGTGCCGGAGAGGCTTTGGAAGGTGCTTAGTGGGGCTGAAGCTTTTTTTACAGCTTTTCTACAATCAGGATGGCTACTCTTCAGGATGGCATTCTGTTAGGTTTGCTTTCCTTTTCTTCTAAAGGAGGATTGACCTCTTCAGAGGAAGTAGTATTGAAAAGGCTGGAATGCAAATGATTCTGTGCTGAGTATCCTGAATGGAAACACTAAATTAACTACAACCTGAAAAGCTTAGTAACCTACTGATGTTTGACTTGCATTTGTGTCAACAGGCTTCTTTTCGAAAAGTAAGCCAGAGTGGAAATAAAGCCACTTTTTAAAACCTGTTTAGTTTTTAATGTGGCTTTAAAAGTGTTGTTTTCTTCCTTATGGTGACATTTTATTGTAAAGAGTTTCCATTTAGATCCTGAACTTAAATGTTTACCACAACTTAAACACACAACAGAGTAGCTGCCAGTAATGCAGAGATCTGAACAAATCTAAAGGAAGAGGCATATTTATTGGAATAAAATGAATGGATTTTATCTCCTAATTTTGTGTGTGGAGGGGGGGTTTATACAAAGACTTGTGTATCTTTCAGAATATGCAGATACACTGTTAATCTTTTTTTGTGTGAAATGTTTAAAAGGTGTGAAATATTAGGCATGAGCTATCACTGACAGCAACTTCATTTGCATAACGTTTTATTTGATTAAGTTAGTTGAGTGGGAATTTGGAAGTAATTTTCATACTGTAAAAAAGTGGTAAGTGTCCTTTTCCTGTTAGTGGGGAAAGCAGAGTTTGGTTAAAATGCTGCAGATGGGAGAAATAGGGTAAGAATACAATGTTCACTAGTGCACAGGAAAGCATATGGAAGGTTTTTTTCAGTTTTGATAGACTAATTAATAGTATGTTAGGAAATACAGAGTGTCATCACTAAGTGTTTAAAAGCAACTGTGATGAGGAAGTAAATCATATTCTTCTCTGCTGTACTATAGATGAATGGCATTCATTGGGACTGTCAAGTCTTAGTTTATTGCCCTGTAATCATGTTCTTAACAGTTGGTTTATTTTTGACTGGTTTCAAAACATCCTTTCTTATAAACTTAGCATCAATTTTTAAAGTCTATGAAGTTGGCTTGGATTGCAGTGCCATGTTCTTCTTGACCCACAGTATTCCAGATCTTTGAAATCTCTCCTCACTGACGTGCTGACTGGCTGCACTATCACCCTGGACTAATGTTTTGCTTTGAGAAACCTGATGTGATATGTAACTAGCATTTTGAAAACAAAAGGTGGCAGCTGCATGCCAGTCCTTTCATTTCGCAGACTACTTTGTGCAAGTGTGTAAGTGAGTGTCTCTTGTGGAACCTCTGTTCTTAGAAGAAATTTAATATAAAGACAGGTTCTCTGTTCTGTGGTATTAAACTGTAGGCTACTAGCAGCTTGTACATCACTGATGTTTTATAGTATCAAAGCCTGTTGTATGCCCAATCTGTATTTGCAATGAAAATCCCAACCTGATACACCTTTCCTTTTTTCTTTCTTCCTTAGGTTTTAACAACCATTCGCTCAGGACACAGGGCCAATATTTTCAGTGCAAAATTCTTACCGTGCACCAATGACAAACAGATTGTATCTTGTTCCGGAGATGGAGTCATTTTTTACACTAACGTTGAACAAGATGCCGAGACCAACAGGCAATGCCAGTATACGTGCCACTATGGAACTACCTATGAGGTACCTCACAGAGTATATGATATTTATGAGATAGGTAGAATGCATATTTTCTTTTATTGTTGCCCAGGATTTTAACCAGACTGCTGAAAGCTTTATTTCAATGCAAATAAGAACCTTTCTTCTAGCTTTTTTTCCTTAAAGTAGGCTTTAAGAGAAGTGTTGTCTAAATTAAATGAAGGACTTTCCAAAAGGTAGTGTCATTAAGACCAGTTTCTTTGTCAGTTGAATACACTTTTACTGAAAAAATCCTCTGCAGAGCAAAACTGATTTAAATTGTGCTGTGAATTTCTTTCTGAAGTAGGTTGGGGGTGGTGGCAGTGGCTAAGTTTTTTGCATTTTCAGTTTCATTTTCCCCCCTCCCTTTTCAGCAGTTTAATGCCTTTTTCACAATGTAAATCCTTTAAGAAATGCTTATTTCAGCATGTGTGAATAACTTAATCAGTAAAATGTATTTACAGTTTTAGGTCAAAAAAGATCTTGTGTTCTAGTTAACTCTTTATGTGTAAATTCAAAGGTAGCATTTCAGTCCTCCCTTGGAAGTTTTGTTCATATAGGCAAGTGAAGAAGCAGTGTGTTGCTTAAGTTAGGAAGATAATCAGATTTATTCATCTGTTTGTTTATTTTAATGAGATCAAAATCTGCTGCTTGTAAAACGTAGGGTGCTTAAAATAGAAAAAATACTGCTGTTTCTGTCTTAGGTTATAAACGTTCCATTTTTTTAAATTATTTTTTGTTTGTTTTAACACTACCACACTACACACACAGAGGAAAAATCCCGAATCCATTGCTTTAATGGTTTAGCTCAGATTTCATAGCAGGCTTTTAAATCTCTTGTTCACATGACATACAATGAAAAATATTCTTAAATCACCATTTAAAAAAATCTGGGGCATGTGGAAAGGTGGTGTGAGAGAAGAAAATGGCTGAAGTACTGCCAGAATTAATTTTTGCTCACGTAGTAAAAGTATGCTTATGCTTGTAAATACACATGTTCCGTTAAAGGTTTTGTCAAAAACACTTCCCGTCTCCAGGGTAACTTTGTAGGTCAGTCGAGCGAACGTTGTGGTATTCACTGTTTCTGGGATTTGTGGGTTTGGTTTTGCCTGGGTTTAACACAAGACTGTATTTTCAGTTTTGCAAACTGTGATTCTGGATCCCACGCTTGCATCGTCTGCTTTTATTTTTGAGATTTGTTTTGAAGAAACTGCTGTTTCCTTTGAATTGCATCAGTCCTTGTGGCCCCCAGTCAGAAGCCTAAACTGCCTCAGTTCTCTCTGAAGCTTACTATATTTAGTAGCCTGTGTGCTAGTCGCTGGATTCTGCAAGTTGTTTGCATGTTCTCTGTACTGCAAATAAAACCTGCCTTTCCATAAGAATATCTGGAGACCAAGATGCTATTTCTTAAAGCTGAAATGCCCTCGCTGAGGGGCTGGGGGGTGTCTATCAGGTCGTTGCATTGTGACTTCTTGGAAGAATAAAAGCCTCCCCTTGCTGGCTGGCTGCAGGCTTGAGGAGCAGCCGGTTGCTGGGTAGCCAGCTGTATTACATAAACCATTTTTGAGCTTGAGAGTAGGAGAATGGTTACGGATACTGGGCTGAGGAGACATGAAGGTGGTGGTAGAGGTATCATTAGAGCCATGGGTTTGGGCGCGGGAAGTTTGGGATCGTGGGCTAGGCTGCTGAGAGTACGGCAAACGGGAGAGGTGGTGGCAGTATAAAAGTTGTCACGAGACGTCACTGTGGTGGTCTTAAGCTTTGATCTGCCTGAGCTTGGGTTGACCATCGGTTTGGTTGATTACATGGAGCGGCTGATAGCAGGTGATGCTGCAAAACAAAGATCAAACTGGGAAAATTCAGTGAAAGCAGTTGCCAGTTGTGCTTGTGGGTCAGGGATTGTAACGGAGGCTACAGCATAACACTTGTAAACGGTTGTCTCTTTGCAAGGTGTTGTTTGTCATCAGTAATGATGGTATGGGCTTTGCAAGCTACTAGACCGGATGATATATATAAATTTGATAGGTACAACAAACTAAACCTGTCAAAACAGTAAGAGATTGAAAAATATTTTAGAAGGAATACAGAGAGCCCAACAGCCTAGCAAATCAAGACTCAAGTTTTATTGCTGTCCCTATAGAATGACTGTAACTGAACAGTAACTAGTTGTACGGAACACAATAAACTTCTTCAAAATCATTAGTTGAAGAGAATATGGATATTTGACTGCAGTGTTGCACAGTCAAAATGGGTGTATTTGGGATGATTTTTATTCAGCAAATAATGTTAATGAGAGGGCATTATTGTTGTTTTGAATGACAGTAGTGCGATACTGTTTTGGTTCTTCATATGGTTTTAAACACAGTTAATGGAAGGAATCTCAAAACCCCTATATGACACTTTGACACTTTGAACAATTGTGTCTCTTTTGACTTTTTTTCTTACCCTGTTTTGCACTGACTTTTAACATACCTGAATTTGAGCTCTCTTCAAGAAGTCTTTGAAAAACTAGGTTTATAAAACGCTTTAGGAGGTACATTTTGTAAGGACTATAAATTCTGTTACTGTGTCTTAAACCTAATATTTGAATATTAAATGCATTTGTTATTGTGTGGCTTAGCAGACCTTTTTTTGAGTCTTGGCATATGAAAGTGTAATAGAGCAAATAGCCATTTGCTGACAAACCCCAGCTGAGAAACAGCTTCAGCTTCTGACATAACGCAGTGTTTTCGCTGAGAGGTTTCTGGAGTGGGAAAATAAATACTGTGACGTTACTGCCCAGCTGTATGTAACCACATCATCGTATTAAATATAGAACTTTGACTCACTGGATCCTCTAAATAACAAAAGCTAACATCATCTGCCCCTGAGGTACTAATTCTAAATTTGAATGTGCTTTGAATATATGCTGCACTTTAAACTTGGAGACTGTGACCGTTCAAGACATTACGAAAACATCTCTTGAAACAAGGGAATGTGGAAATTTGTGTAGATTGTTATGAAATGTGAGAGAATTGGACAATTGTTTTTAATTTTGGGGGAGAATAGAATAAATAGAGAGGGAGAGAGAAGTTCTTGAAACATGTTTCTGGGGAATTTGTTGTTTATATAAGGCCATTACAAGTCTATTTTTACGCAGCCAAATGCTTTTCTTTATTGCCCTTCACGTTCTTTACATTTCAGAAAAAGAATGTGCTTTTATGGACAATTCTTACCTTTGTATTTTCAACACAGTAAAACGATCATATAGTTACATGTTTTTAAAGTTAAATAAAATGTTCTTTCAGTTAGTAAAAAAGGATTATATACGTAATGTGTACTTGTTGAACTCAAATATAGTAGCAATGACTCTTAACTGTTGGAGTCTGCACTTCTCAATTTCTCTGTTTCAGTACTTATAAAGTACTTCAGTATGTTTTTAAATGCCAACCATAAAAGTTGCATGTGCAAGTGGAGAATACTCTGCACTGTTACATGTATATTGTGAAATGTGTCAGCGTGAACAAAAATAAAATACAGCTACAAGAAATAAGAGTTTGCTGTGTTATAGCACCTTCAGCAACATTCTTGGAATAAAGTAAATATATTCAATGAAAGCTCTGCATCGAAATCCAGCAAAAATGCTGGAAGGATTTAGTGGATTGAAGACAATTGCTAGCTTTTATAACTACACTAATAAAATTAATTTGAGTGAATGTGTAGTGAAAAACACTTTTTTCAGTGTTATACAAACATACTGAGGAATAATGGCAATAACTCAGAAGTTTATTGTTCCATTTTTATTAAAAACTTGGCTTGGTTATGTCTGTTAAATGTCTCATTTGACAGCAGTAAGATTTGGCACAGCACAGATGGACTCAGTTAATGTACTGAGCATTAAGAGAAGAACTGCTGAGTCCTGCAGAGATTACCTTTGTAATCCCACCCTAGGTAGAGAGATTTACAGATATCCATAGGTTACTTATATTAAGAGTTGGAGGGGGGTGTGTATAAGAAATCGTAACATAAAAAGTGTTAAAGAATCACTCGCTATGTGTTGAATTAGTGTATTAGTTGAAATAGAATATTATACTATTACTGATTTTTGTAGCTTTATAAGGTTCTATGAAGCTGCTGATAGTAGCAGTAGTTAGAAGTATTTTTCTTTGCCTACACTATTTTCTGCAACATTCTCTGGTTTGTATTTGAGGGATAGCATTTAAAACCTTGATGTTTCATGTACGTTTATTGACCTGTGGAATTCAGCTTTAACATTATGATTGCTTGCCTTCTTATTTTCTCGTAAGCCTTTTTGAGTGAAGCCATACACATGAGAGTCCACCTGAGTCTTCCCTAGTTTGAGTAGGGCTGAGGTCAGGAACGTGGTGCAATACAGCGCTCTCTTAAAAAGTAGGAAAAAATGCAGTGAGGGAGTAGGTGAGTAACAGCCTTTAATGCAAAGTTACTTCAGGGGACTACTTTGAATGTGAAGGAATGGCCCAGTGGGAATAAAAGCCATCTAGTAGTTTAATATCATCCACGCTTCTGGGGGTTTTGTTACTTATTGTTGTTTATGACTTGATAGAAAATGAACTGAGATTCCTTTGAATGATTGCAGCAAATTGACTGCATGTCTGAAAACTGATTTCAGTAAATGTACATTGCTTATGAGAAGATAATAGAAATAACTGCAAGCTTTGACCTACAAATATTTAATCCTATGTGACATTTGTTTTAACTTCAGTTTTTCAAACCTTGTCTTTAAAATGAAAGAAGATCAGTAGTTTTCGGTTTTCCTCTCTGTTTCAATAGAAAGCTTGACTTGAAGTCCTAATTGCAACAGTCAAGACTGAAGCTCATAACATTGGTGCTTTTATTTTCAAACTACTGGTATTTCTGGAAGTATTAACACCTTTTTTTTCTTTTTTCCTTTTTTTTTACGAGCAGATTATGACAGTACCAAATGATCCCTATACTTTCCTCTCTTGTGGTGAAGATGGCACTGTAAGATGGTTTGATACTCGAATCAAAACAAGTTGCACAAAGGAAGATTGTAAAGATGTAAGAGTGAAATCTTTTAATAAAGATGACCTAAATGTAGAGCTGTACATCATACAAACATAGGATATGAATTCTGGTAAGGCTTTTAGAAATAATAGATTTCAGGGTCCTTGGTGGAGATGACAACATGTTTCCCAAGAAACAAAAAAAAGTTTGGGGAGTCTTTTTTTATTTTTTTTCCTTTTTAAAAAAATTTATTTTATGTTAATATATCCCTCTGCATTTTTTAGTTTATGAGCTTTGGTGTGAGGCTTCAGATATGGTAGAGAAGATTCTGTGCTGAAATTGAATCTCTTGGTCTGGTTTCCATTAGTTACTATAGAGCATGGAGTTGTAGGCAAAAAATTAGCCTTGAAAATCATGTGCAGCCTTGTGTTCTTGAGCACCCTTTGTCCCTCTGTAAGAAAAGATGTGGTAATGAATTATACTAGATCAAATTAGTCACTGGTACTACTCCCTAGAAGGTAAAGTATTGGTGGTGTCCACTGTGTTTGGATCTCAGAAACAGTTTTAATATTGATTTGGAGAAAAACTGACACCGAAGTATGCATTAATACTCTTGATTAATTTTCTTCTGCTTTACCAGTTTCTATTTACCAGTTCTATGAGGTTCTTTCTTTTCCTCTATCCAATTATCCACCCATAGGTGGAATCTATTCCGATCCTTTAAATTAATTTAGGCTGTTTCTGCATATTTGGTTCTCTTCTGACTCAACAGTTTTCTATGTTTCCATAGGAAAATCCAAGGTGCAAGACAGTTTATAGATCTGTAGTTGTTATACTTATCTATTCTTAAATGTTTGTTCCTGTGGTTTGTTTGTTTTCTTTGTTAGTTGTTCTGGTGTGGTATTTCTCTGATAGTTTTCCTTTCATTGCAGTGGCTTTTCTGTTTAGCATATTTACAATCTGTCTTCACAGGGCCAGACCTAGTTTTCTCAAAAGCTCTTTTACTAATGGGCCTGTATCCTAAAGTAAAAACTAGAATTATACTTCAAATGTTCAGAGCTGTTGTTTGAATGCTGTGTTTCTCTTTGTTCCAGGATATTTTAATAAACTGTCGGCGTGCTGCCACTTCTGTTGCTATCTGTCCGCCAATCCCGTACTATCTTTCTGTGGGTTGCTCTGACAGCTCAGTAAGAATATATGATCGGCGAATGCTTGGTACAAGAGCAACAGGTAGGGGACCATACCTTACTGTCAACATTTCACAGTAATCTACCCATTTTCAGTTTCAATGTCAGGTTCGTTTTTTTCAAAATAGATGGTGAATGACTGAAGTGTAATACTGAATGAAGTGTAGCTTTCTTCTGAGAACTATACTTTGTAATAATAGTAATTTCACTCTCATATTTGCTAATACAGAAATCTTGAAGTAAATAAACTTTATCTCTTCATCCATCGTAGCATACATTGTGTACCGAATGCAGAAAAAGACATTGTGTAATGTCTCTTCTTTTGTCTTGAAACATATGATTCCAAGATTCCAAAAAGCTAGCGATTACAGCCTGCAGTGGTCCACCTGAATTTTACTGAAGTTCTTATCTTCTTGTACTCTGCCATGCTGGAATGTGTTGTTTCTTATGGGAATGGATCTTAGGAACTCTATAATATCATGCCATATGCTTACCTTTACAGAAGCTGTTGCTATATCTGACATAATTTGACTGAAAAGCTATAAATTCTTCAAGTGAAAGTTAGCATGCTTCAGATGCTTACCTAGGGATTTTATTGAAAAAAAAGAAGTTGACAAGCAAAAGTGCATTATGTAGTACTAACATAATTCATATTTGTTCAAAGAAACACTGATCCTACATTATAAGAACGTGTTAATATAGACATAGCTGTGCATACACATTCATGCAACTAATCAGCGTCACAAAATCCGTCATCTCTTGCAGCATTTTACCGTTGATTGTGATGGAGGAGAAAGGAAACAGTCAAGATCACTCAGTAAACACAGAAATATCCTGCTCATCAGGCTAATGTTGTTAAAAGATACCTATCTCCCTTTCATCACAGTGGTCAGCAAAATTCTGTGGGAACGGCCTGAGGAACAGATTTTGGGGGGTTGATTAAAAGGTACTATGTACCTGCTCTTGTAACAATACAGGAATAAGATGAGTTCAGGTATGCTGGCCAGTGGAGTAAAGCAGGGAAAAGACAAAATTTTGAAGGCTTAAATTTTTCTGGATATATTGGTCTAGTTTTCGGTTGTTTCTTTTGGGGTTGTGGGATTTTTTGGTCATTCTTGTTTTTTGTGTGTTTGGTTTTTTTTCTTTAAGAGGCGAAGAGTTCTGTGACTAGTGAGCAAACAATTGATTTTAATTTAAAACTTTGTTTCAGTCCTTATATAGTATGAGACAATGAACTCTGAACTTGTCTGTGGTCAAGGACAGACTGTTGCACATACTAAGGCCACAACAGAGATGTGATGTGGGAAACTTAGGTGGCAAATTATGGGGTTTTGGAACAGTCTGTTTTTCTCAGTGTTAGATGTGCTCACAAACTTCTAATTCTAGAATTTAGATTGTTTTATTGTGTAGAATGGGGTGAGTTGTGAGGGGAGCATGTTGTGAAGTGACAGTAATATGCCACAAAGAAAAACTGGTATTGAAAAAAAAAACCACCCCCCCC